TATGACTATGAAAACATACAAATTCCTCCTCGAAGATCCACCAGAGCAGGAACTTTTACTGAATTTTTTGAAGATCCCAGCAGGGCCTTATCTGCTGCTAATGAGAATGATGGCTATGTGGATATGAGCAGCTTCACTGGCTTTGAGAACAAGCAGCAAACCACAGACCAGGAAACAGAAAGGTACTGTAATAAATTATTATGTAAGACTTGCTAGCCTTGGCCAAACAGGCAAGGCCTCCCTTGCTAGGTATCGTAGGCAGATCCTCCGTGTTGCTTGGCTTATACCCCCTCTCGGGAAATGCTTACAAGATTCGAAGAATACAAGATAAGCCTTTATCAGTGAAAAAAAAAGACACCAAATTAACTCTTTACCTTGTAAATGTATACTAACAAGTCCAGTGTATCTGGATCCTATGGTTTACAGATACAAACCAAAGAACGTTTAAAAATATTTGGTTTATCCAATGGATCTAATTTTTGTGGCTTGGGGCAGGGGGGGCGGGGAGATCTTGCTTTGTTCTTCAGTAAGAAAGGTTTCTGACTTCTTAACTGAATGAAAAGAGACCCTGTTTGCTGGAAGGGGTCTTGCTTCATTTTTTCATTCCTGTCAATTTCTCAAAGCAACAGTATATATATAATCTCTCAAAGTACATCAGTTAAGTATAGACCAGGAAATCCAAATCATGAATTAATCAGACTAGACAATTAATTTTAAAAGTTGCTTTAAAGCCTATCATTATGGCCCTTTGACAGAGCTGCTGATTTATAAATTAATTAAATAGCTCTGTCTGAAATCATGTGCATTGCTAACATTAATAACAGTCTTTCATCCCATTCTATTAGATTATTTGCAAACAAGAAAATGTCTTTTTTGTAGTTACATGGGAGCAATGCACCCAAGACCTTTGAATTTGAATTTGAATCTGTTGTCATATTATAGCATACAATCAGTGGAGTGCAGAGATGTAAATAAGAAGTGTGTCTTCCATTAAGTTCATGCTAAACAGGTAATGAGAAAACAAGGTGCAAAGCAAATGAATGAAAATGAATGTCTTTAATGCAGTTGCATTTTGTTAGAGCTGCGTGAAAAAGATAAACATCTTAAAAGCAAGGTTTTCATGTCCGTTTTCATCCATCATTCTCCTTCTAAAGATGTAATACTCCCGTTTCTTTGCAATATTTATTTTTTCTGGTCCTCTCCCCTGTCATTGTGAATGGAACAAACCATGGGCATTTCACACATCCCTCTTTTGATATTTCAGACTTGGGGAGTAAAAGAACTTTTCTTTAACACCTCTGAATGAATCTTGCAAACCATTTCTAAGACAAGAACGATGTACAGTGCTTTGTCTTTCTGAGAGAGGTGAGAATTGTTGGGGGTGGGGGAGGTGAGTATGACATGGGGAAAGAGATTGCATCAAGGCTTAAGCTGTGGATCCAAACGTGCCTGAAGCTGAGGGGTCTGGGACACAGGCCTGTGGTTTAGCTCTTCGGAGATGTTGGCTGCCTGTGGTGTTGGGAGCCCCGGTGGTGCTGACGCTGGGACATGGTGGAGTACAGTGCGGCTTCACAACGCACACAGCCACATCCTCGGAGCAGCACTCAGCAGAAGCTGCCTTAGCAGGGCCTGATGGCCCATTAGTCACACTGCTTTCAACGGTTTGCATTGCGCCCAGCACACTGACGTTTGCTCTTGGAAAAGCTGGCCAGTTCTTTGTGTCCATGAAACGCCGCCCATTTTAGGTAGTTCTTGAAGAACCAAGTTAAAAATATTAAAACTACGTCAATTGCTGTGACTTGGGCCCATTTATGAACTTCCTGTGGAAGCCTGTTGTTTCAAAGGGAGAGCCAATCCAAACTGGTTCAGGAAGTCTCAAGGTCAAGGCGTGAACATAATTTTTCAGTCTGCTGCTTGTTGTGCATGCAGTTTTTGCTGTTGGGGGAGAAATGAAGGCTAGGCTCCTGAACAAGCCCTTTATCAAGATAACCGGGGTGGAGGGGAAGAGTATCAGGCAGACAGCAATATACATACATTGCTGCTGAGATAGCTATTATTTGCTATATTTGTCAGGAGGTTTTGGACAAAGACATGCCTGAAAAGCTTTGATGAAATGTAAATGGGTAATACACATCCAATGGCATAATATACTTGGAGAAACAGTGTATGGTCTAATTGTAAAGCAAAGCAAGTCGTACAAGTACATGCACATGAACCTATTTATGCATGCATACATGATGTATGGACATGGATGTTTTATTTCCTGCTAAAGCAGTTCTGCTTAAAATACCTCTCAATGGATTTAAGCTTTCTAATATGAATACCTATCAAACACAGCTCTACCACAACCACACAGGGATAAAAATTACTTTGAACTCCAGCCTGCTCATATCCTGAGGCTTATTTCAACCATTGAGAGTACAAGTGTGTTGGATTAAACCCTTGCAATACGTGAGACTTGAGCCCATGAATTTCTCTTTGGTGTATTCACCTGCAGAGCACTGGTATTTAGCATCTGCTGATACCTCATGGAATTGCTACATTTTGATGAATGGCCAAGTACAACTCTTTTGTTACATTTCAGAGAACAGACTATGAAAGATTATAAATGCTATAAAAGATTATAATAATCTGGGAACCTCCGCTACTGTGTGTGATTGGGGGAGAGCGGGGTGGGAGAGGGGCTTACAGAAATTGACAGATGAGAAGATTCACTGTTTAATTTTCTTGCTTAAAAGGGAAGACCATGTGGAGTAGATTTAAACCAATAATTTCTAATTAGAAGCAATCACGTTTATAGAAAAAGTCCAATAATGAAAGCGTTCTAGAAATATATCTTAACTTAGAATTACCATTGCCAGAATAGAACTGGGAATATTGCCCCCTGAAGGGCAGTTATTGTGTATCCCCAAAATTTAGCTATCTGGTATTAATAATTAAACTCTGGTTCGAGTGTATGACAATATAGATCATCATTAGCCTTCTGTACAATGTAGAAATAATGGGACATAAGTGGAATTGGACAAAATTCCCCTGATCTTTCCCCAGTCCACATAGCCTGAATCAGACTCAATTTTCATTTGCTTTTGAAAATTCACTTTCTAGCCCTTTTTCTCTGAAGAGTTGCACTACAAAGTGCAAAGCAACACAAACCAAGTGTTCAGGCTGAAAGCAAAAGGCAGCTGCGCCCCACCTCTGGGACAGTAGACTGTAACCTACAGCATTGCCTCGACCCTAAACAGCTATAAGTCAGAGCAATTTCACCAAAGTTACTGGCTAAACTTTCATCAGTTGAAAGTCAGGTAGAATTCAAGTATGCTGGCACATGTCTTAACAAATAGCTTCACTAACCCAGTTTGACCTTCAGAGCATCAGCCATGCATATGGCAGTGGGATAAACATCAAGGGGATGGGAAAGAGATACCTCAAACACTCATTTCATAGTCTACCACAGTATCACTTCCAGTGCTTTTAGGAGAGATGGAGAGAGTCTTTTATCAGGGTTTAGGTAAGGGCAGGAAGATGGCATAGGTTGGGTGTTTTCAGAATTTTGTTTTCCCTTTTTGCTTTCTACTTAGAGCCCGTAAGTTGGATTTACCAGGTTTGCTAAGTCTCAGTCCTCCTTTCTGCTAAGATACTAAAAATCCAGAAAGGAAAGAAGATAGGGAGAAGAGAGGAATAAAAGGAGTATACCTGCAGTTCCACAGATAATCCCACTGTGATGTTGACTATTCATAAGAAATGAGCTAAAAGCCCATGTTGATGTTACCTGTACATTCCTATATCCTTCTACATAAAATGGTCATCGATACATACTAGAAGAACCTCAGTCTGATTATTGTACTTAACCAAGAGCAGGACTTGCTCAGACTTTGACTCTTAAGTGAATTCTTAGGGGCCGGTGTGGGGATGCCAGTGCTCTGTGCAATTACACCAAGGCTCATGGTAATTCCTAATAGGTCTCTAGAATTGCAGTCTCATGCCTGTAAACTACTCCCAAGGCTCCAGCTCTGACTTCCCACTGCTTTTCAAGACATATGGCACCTATCTGATGCTTCTCAGCTTTGGTACCATCAAGAAAGCTGATCACCCCTTCAGTATCCTATTCCTTTTAAATGTGTTTTATTCCCAAGGGATGGTCTTCTTCAAGAAGATGGAGAAAAAATTCTCTTTAGTAGAAAGCCAGGAAAAAAACATGGTTTATTTGTGTTAAGCAAGTGATACCTTTCCTTAAATTTGGCCAGACTGAAGCAGGAACACACAGGTGCTTAGGGACTGATACAACAGTGCTAGCTAGTACTGGAGAGGATGCTTCATGGGTAAGCAGCTACGTTAAAAGCTTTGTAAGCAATCCTCTTTGCACATAGCCATAGAGAGTCTGGGCTTCTGCCAGGTCTACGCACAAGATCACAAGGACTATGTCAGCACAGACCAATTCCAAACTGTATACCAAAATCATGGTATAGTTAGAGAGCAATAGAACCGCTGGTTATGCTTGATGGGCCATAGAGAATGCAAATCCCCCTCCTTTAAAAGGAGAAAAATCCAGTGGATGAGCAATTACTTCCCGCTCCAATGAGTATTTAGCTGTCCCCTTGCCTCACCACTGGATTCATCAACCTATATTCTGTCAAATTATGCCACTTATATCCTCTCTGCTCCCTGGAGGTCATCAGTCACTGATTAGCTCCAAGACTGCGGGCAGTGACAGTCTATATGATCGCCTATTCCCTACCCTTTCGTAACACACACAAAAAAAAGCCTAACAAAAGCTGAGCATAATAAACATCTTAGAACATGAATTCTCTGCCTAAAAATAGTCTAAGTAACATGCTACTCAGACCTTAATATGCCCTTAAGCTTAAGGTGAAATTTAAACCATTGGAGTGAATTTCCTCCAACATAGCACATGTTTTTAACGAATGAAATCAAGATGTTGTGTTCCTGGCTCTCTCTGCTCCTTCAAATGAGAAGCACATACATTATATGAGATTAAATCACCGACTCTTAGGAAGGCACAGTGTGGTATCTAAGCACAGCATATGAAGGATAAGGTGAAAGTCTAGAGATAATTATGTAATGGAAGCTTCAGTATAAATAGTTCACACACCAAAATAGCAATGACCAAGAAAGGACAATCAGTGTTTTCATATTTAAAATAGTAAAAGAAATATACAGGAAT